AATGGCGTCAGCTTCGTTTCAGCTTCTTCTTCCCTACTTGAAATCACATCCCTAGTCATACAAGAAAAGGTTCTTAGTCATCCACAAATTCAGTACCACAACCATAAAAAAAAGCACACAATTATCATATCATATAAACGTACTACACAAAATTACAAGGAGAAGGTTCTTGGTCATATACAAATTCAACGAAGAAAACGAAAAAAAAAAAGCACAAACACATATAGAGTATAGATTACAAGGTAAAATTACTTTGATGGTGTTTTTCTTAGCCTGAAGCTTCTTTTCCGTCTCTTCTTTTTTCTCATGTTTGAAACAGAATTCAATAGCACAGGTTAGGAGACAGATAATAAACAGATAAAATTGCACAAATTTGATACCGATAATCTGCACACACACACACACACACACAAAAATAAAAAGAAAAAATCATTCGAACATTTAACATTTGAGATTAATTGATTAAATTACTTCTGAGATCGAAATCGTGAAGCCTTTTCCTTCAACCTAAATCTTTTTTATATAGATATAGATATAGAGATATAGATAGATAGATGAGTTCATAGGGAAGAAAGAAGCCCCTTTAGGATATTTCAGTATGGAAAATTTTATGTCTGGACACTATAGAACCATAATAAAAAGTATAAGAATTGTTGCAATCACAAATATATGTATACAAAAAAAAAATCTTTTTCAACTGTCTTCATCATATTTTCTTAATATCTGTAGCATAAAAATAAACAAATAAATAATAGATTAAGTCACCATACTATAAAAACTGATAAAATGCAGCATTAAATTATAATATGATATTTCACGGAGAAAACAACATATGTTAAGCAAAATAAGTAAAATATGTCCTAACCAAATAATCCAAGATTACATTCATATGCATAAAGGCACATGATATCAGAACACGCAGAATCCTCAAGATGATTGAATGTCCAATATCTGCAAATATGTTATAACAAAGTTTTTCAATTGTTCCAATCAGTAGTCATTGAACATACATTCACAGATTATTCATTTAGCCAGAACATTTTTTTCAAACTCACTAACACCACCAACCACATTCTACTTAATAAACAAAATCCATATAATATCAATCCTCAGAAACCAAAAGCTCAAATAAGAAGTTACCATCACTAATCTTTTTTTTATTTACTGTTCTCTCTTAGCGGGAGTTCTGCCATCGTCCAGTGAGGATTTACCTATCCTCACTATCTGATTGTTTATTTTAAATATCTTTTTTTGTTTGAGGTAGGGTCCGTAGGGATTTGTTTCCTTGATCTGAGGTTTTAGTTTCTGTTTTTTCCCTTTTACTGGACGGATGTCTTGACCTTAATATTTGGGACCATCTTCAAAAAAAAAAGGATTTAAAAAGAAACAATCAAACGGTAAATCTCACCGGACGATGGCAGAGCTCCCGCTAGGAGAGAACAGTTAATCAAAGAAAACCGCTTCTTTCAATTCCCGGCACAACTAAATAAGATGGAACATAAATGAAATCGTACTTCAACTCCAGGAAACCTAGACAGAGAAATCAAGCGCCCGAGCTTGGGGAGGTTCAAGAATGAATAGAAAAATTGAGATGTGCGAAGCACCAAGATTGAATTTTTTAGACGCAAAAGGGCAAGAACACCAAAATGGGTCTTTAAAAACCCTTGTTTCAGTCAAACTCCCAAATGTTCTGTATCATAATTCCGTTACCCTTTTTGCTGCTAATTCTGAGAATCTCAGCAGATTACTGCGTGCGCGAGTAAGGAAAGGCGGTTCTTTTGACTTCTCTTCTTAAAGAAAAACTCTCATTCTGCTTACGCG